TGATACCATGTTAAGAAAGAGATGATGTTGTAAACTTTGTTTCTTATTGAATACGTAAGAGAGGCAATGCCTTTTATACAACATGATGATTTAACCTAGTGTAGCTATACAAACTAAGTGGGCTTACGTAGGGGCCTCACAGCCCAATAAAATCCAAACAAACCAAGAACAGAGAGTAGTGACTCTGAGAAAGAGAGATGAAGTGACAAAACAGAGGTAAAACAATGTGTCTAAGTCAAATTTAAGATACAGATTCAAGATTAACCGTCTGATTAGTTTGTTGTGTTTGCTCTGCAAGACCATCAATTGGAGGATGAATGAAAGATTGCGAGATCATTCACATTTCTATCTTTAGCAGCACAACTCCAATCTCTACTTTCGTTTTGCTGGATCTATTTCAATTCTCATGTCCCACAAATGTGTTACGCTTGTTAATTTCTATTTTCGTCATGTTGATTTATGAAGATAATGTTGAAATGGGACGCCAATTGGACACAAACTTTGTTGGATATGCTTTTCTAATCATTTTTTTTTTGTGCATAATGATTCTCTTTGGCCTTACGGTCTCATATTCAAACATGTTTCTTCTTGTCAGTGTGGCTTCTGCTGAAAATGGTACGTTTCACTCTTCATTTCTATCAATGTCTCTTTTCTCACAATCTCTATGCACTAGATTGATTCATCTTCGCGTTGCAAAGAAAGGTAGGATTAAAAAGCGTCTACCATTTTCGTCAGTCCATTGCAGTGGTAGCGAAGCAACTTTTGTGGGAGAGAGATTGAAATTGACAAGTGGTTCTCATTATATCCAAAGCGTAGATGATGCCATTGATTTGTTCAATGAAATGGTTCGGTCTCGTCCCTTCTATTCAGAAATTGATTTCAATAAACTAATTGGTGTCTTCGTGAGGATGGAGCTTCCTGGTGTTGCGATTTCTCTGTATCAGAAGATGGAATTGCTCCAGATTCCATGTAATATCTGTAGCTTCAATATTCTGATAAAATGTTTCTGCGACTGTCATAAGTTTTCATTTGCTTTGTCGACATTTGGCAAGATCACTAAACTTGGTTTCCAGCCCGATGTTGTTACGTTTAACACGCTGCTGATAAACGGTTTTTGTATTGAGGATCGAATGCTCGAAGCGTTGGCTCTGTTTGATCGAATGGTTGAAGAAGGTCATCAACCTGACGGATTTACTTACAAAACAATTATACACAGTGGCGGACCCACTAAGGAAAGATGTGGGTCAACTGACCCATGTTAAATATTCAAATATAGTATAATGCTTCAGAATAACTAAAGTACTTGTAGCAAAGTTGGTAGAATGTGATAGAACTGACACCCCTAAATTATGGTTCGATACTTGAGTCTCACAGTTTTGGTTAATTTTTGGTTTTTAACATCTTTAGTACGTTGTATTGATTACTATTAATTTTTTATTCTTTTAAAAAATCACAGCATCTATTGGAAATTGTATACTTTTTTCCTAATTAATTATAAAAATAATAAATAATGTTTTGATTTTCTATTGTTTGTATAATATTTTAATATAATAAACTATATAATATAATTGAAAAAATAATTTGACCCCCCTAAAAATAATTTCTGGGTCCGCCACTGATTATACATGGAATGTGTAAGATTGTTGACTCTGAGTCGGCCTTGAATATGCTTAGGAAGATGGAGGAATGCCACATCGAAGCCAATGTTCGAATCTATAATGCCATCATTGGTTGTCTTTGCAAAGACGGCCACCACGGCGATGCTCAAAATCTCTTCACTGAAATGCAGGAGAAAGGAATTTCCCCCAATGTAATTACCTACAGCTGTTTGATACACGGTTATTGTAGCTTTAGTGTTGTAACTCATAGCATTATGTTGCGCGGTTTTTACGATGATGGGAAGCCTGAAAAGGGGTTGAAATTATTTAAGGCTATGCAGAAGAGTAATATGGACCTTGATATTCGTACTTATAACATCATCATCCATGGAATGTGCAAGGCTAATATGGTGGACGAAGCATGGAATATATTTACTAATCTCCCCCCTAAGTGGTTTGCAACCTGATGTTCAAACTTACAGTATATTGATCAGCGCATTTTCCAGGGAAAGGAACTTTTCAAGAGCTGAATATGTTTACATGGAGATGCTCAGAAAAGGTATACTCCCCAATACTGTTACCTATACCTCGATGGTTGATGGACTCTGCAAAGAGAACCGCCTAGATGAGGCGAAAGAGATGTTTGATTCGATGGCTACCAAGGGGTTCTCCCCCAACGTAGTGACTTTTAGTGCAATCATTAATGGCTATTGTAAGGCTGAAAAGGTTTACGATGGGATGGAGCAAGCCTGCGAGATGTACCGAAGAGGAATAGTTGCTGACGCAATTACTTACTGCACTTTGATTCACGGGTTTTATCGAGTGGGTGATCTTAATGGCGCCCTAGACATTTTTGAGGATATGATTTCCAGTGGTGTGTGTCCTGATACTAGTACGTCCTACAATATGCTGGCCGGTTTATGCAATAATGAGGGACTACGAAAAGTGTCTGCAATATTGGAGGATTTACAAAAGAGTGTGGTATGTCCTCCACTAAATTTAGTTTAGTTTATTTACTTTGGATATATTTGTAGTCTCAGACTCAAAGGAGCAAAGCTGGATGTTAAAAGTTACACTATAATGATCTCAGGATTTTGTGGGAAAGGTTTAAAGCAGGAAGCATCATATGGTAGAAAAATGAAAGAAGATGGGACTCTCCCAAATGACTGTACATATAATACGCTAATCCGGGCACATCTTCGAGATGGTGACACAGCCACATCAACAGAACTCATCAAAGAAATGAGTAATTGCGTGTTTGCTGGAGATGCTTCAACCTTTGGCTTGGTCACTAATTTGTCGTATGATGGGAGAAGTGAAAATAGCTTTCTGGACATGCTTTCTTAAACAGTTCAATCATCCTTGAGAGAAAAATTGTGTGGTAAATCAACATTTTTGCTGCTAGTCTAATGACAACTTTTTTCTGCATATATTTTTTTTGTTGCTGCGTTGTCTGAATTTTATGAATTTGACGATTTTATTATTGTCGAGGTAAGGTTTCAGAAAAGAGTTGACCCAAACACTGAAATAACCAAGATCAGTGGTTAGAACTCAAAGAAGCCCCCTTTAAGAAGATTTCAGAATTTTATAGATGTTTTGGTATACAGGTAGAATGGTTGGTGAAGAAATGAGATCTAAAAGATGTTTACGTCACCTCTCTTTGTCCATATGTCTCAGGGATCCGATCTCAATTTCAAAAGACATGATGATCAAGCTTTGAGGTGTGAAGACTTCTTTGCGGCTATTCGTGATGCATACAATGCAGATTTTATCTTGTAATGGTAATTTTTCTTGTGATAATTACTGTTTTCATGCTTCTGAGGACATACAGTAGTTTAGGTACTCCCAAGCTGTCAAAGTGGCTTTGTCTTGCAATGCATGTTATGTTCTTCTTTTGTGCCATATTTTCGAATTAAAAGCTTAACTATTCTGTACTGACTTAATGCATGCCCTGCCATTATTGTTGGACCTTTATTGGCTATGCTTTCGACACATTGGCGTGCTCTGTATTTATGTGGATATGCAAACCTATGATTCAATCGGTATGTGGCTGTCTACAACATAGGAGTTCTTCTCTATAATCATTGAATTCAGATATTTCTGTATTTCAGGTGTGTGGCAATTCAATTCAGGCTGAGCTTAGTATCTTTGATTTCCAGCAAATAAACCATTGGTCCAAAACTACAATTGAGGTCTGAGGAACAAGGTATGGCCTCTACATTCCCTCATCAACCAAGTAATCATATCTAAGAGGATTGACCACACCCTGCTTCATACATTTATTTATATTGAGAATAGACTGTAAATAGAAACATGTTTAATAATAAGCGCAAGCGAAAACAACAACCTCGAAGAGAAAGTAAAGTGCTTTGGCATGCACAATTTCTCTGATTATTTAGAGAAGGCAAGACAAGAGAATAAAAGAGAATTAATACTGAAGCCAATCAAATTGCTTTGTCAATGAAGATACCATACCATTCAATTAGTATGTTCAGATTCTCGACGGTCACTTCTAGCAGGAGTTTTACCCTTCTTTCCCCTTGAACTCCTCGCAGGTATCTTCACCGAAGGTTTCTCCACATCGCCAGAGATGTCAAGATGAACGCCAGGATCATGAGTCTCGTACTTGGCCCCTATCATAATCGAGTTGTTCACAGCTTGGAAGTTGCTATTAACATAAGTGCTGAGGAAATCAAGCTCGTGGTCGCCGTTTTTGTCTCTGTCTCCATGATTGTTGTCAAGCTCGGTCTTCATGGTGGCTCCAAGGTTGGATCCAGAAAGCGTGATGACTCTGATACCATCCTCCTCTTCATCGTATTGGCTAGGTCCTGCCTTATCTCCTCCCATGTGGGTTAGTGAAGAGATCATGTTCTTAAGCTCGTGCTCGAAATGTTGTTGGCGCCTGTGCTTCTCTGTTTCGCCTCTTGACTCGCTTAGCTTCATTCTTTTATCAACAGAAGCAGAGATGCCAAGGCAAAGCAATCCAACTATGCATATATAAGCTATGTGATTTATTATATCTTTATGGGAATAAATGATGAGAACATTGCCTTATGTTGCAATTAAAGAATTGGATTTTGTCTGTTATAAAAGTTATAGAATGACTTTCCTTTGAGTTCAAGAATATATATATATATATATATATATATATATATATATATATATATATTTTTGTTAAATTGCTGATGTCGAAAATGTTATATGAAATTATTATTATTCAAGTTTAGTTATTTATTTATTTGCTGAAAAAAATGAAATTATTATTCAAGTTTGTTCCCAAAAGAAATATTAATTGAAAATGTTAACCGGCAAAGGGTGATTGTTACTAAACCAGCATGGCAATAAATATTAAACCGGAAGTTTACCACCGGTTTATCAATTTATCTTGCTCTGGGTTAAATTGATCGAGAAAGGGTTTTGCAATTCGCAGAGCAAAAAAGCTGTGGACTCTTGAGATTGAGAAGATGATGAGATCGATTTCATACGCATTTGCTTCGACGACGAAGAGATTTGTTCGTCGGAAAATCCAGGGGAAAGGTAGTCCTCGAATTGCTCCTTCTTCCTTTAATCTTTTCTGGGAACGATCTTTTTCTGTTGGTTACAGAGAGAAACTGAGTAGAAATGTGTTGAGTGATTTAAAATTAGATGAAGCTGTTGATCTGTTCAGCGACATGGTCAAGTCTCGTCCTTTCCCTTCCATTATTGAGTTCAGTAAATTGTTGAGTGCTATTGCTAAGATGAACAAGTTCGATGTTGTCATCTCTCTCGGCGAGCAGATGCAAAATTTGGGAATTTCACATGATCTATACACATTCAATATTTTGATTAACTGTTTCTGTCGACGCTCTCAACTCCCTCTTGCTTTAGCTACTCTTGGCAAGATGATGAAACTTGGTTATGAGCCCAGCATTGTTACGCTTTCTTCTCTTCTCAATGGATACTGTCACGGTAAGAGGATTTCCGAGGCTGTAGCTTTGGTTGATCAAATGGTCGAAATGGGATATCAACCTAATACTGTTACATTTACAACTTTGATTCATGGGCTTTTTCTTCACAACAAAGCTTTAGAAGCAGTGGCGCTAGTTGATCAGATGGCTGTGAAAGGCTGTCAACCAAATCTGGTTACATATGGTGCTGTAGTAAATGGATTATGTAAGAGAGGTGATATTGATTTGGCTTTGAGTTTGTTGAAGAAGATGGAGAAAGGGAAAATAGAGCCAAATGTTGTAATCTACAACACAATCATCGATAGTCTCTGCAAATACAAACATGTGAATGATGCACTCAACCTGCTCAACGAAATGGAGAACAGAGGAATTAGACCAGATGTTTTTACCTACAGCTCCCTCATTTGTTGCCTTTGTAATTACGGAAGATGGAGTGATGCCTCTCGACTGCTGAGCGATATGATTGAGAGGAAAATCAATCCAAATGTAGTCACTTTCAACGCATTGATCGATGCGTTTGTGAAAGAGGGGAAGCTTTTAGAGGCTGAGAAATTGTACGAGGAGATGATCAAAAGGTCTATAGCTCCTAGTACCATCACTTACAGTTCATTGATCAATGGGTTTTGTATGCACGATCGTCTAGACGAGGCCAAGCAGATGTTTGAGTTCATGGTTAGCCATGACTGTTTCCCAAATGTAGTGACTTATAGTACTCTTATAAAGGGATTTTGCAAGGCTAAGAAGGTAGAAGATGGTATGGAACTATTCCGCGAGATGTCTCAAAGAGGATTGGTTGGAGACACAGTCACTTACACCACTCTTATCCAAGGGTTTTTTCAAGCAGGAGATTGTGATAATGCCCAAATGGTATTCAAAAAGATGGTTTCTGATGGTGTGCATCCAAATATTATGACATACAATATCTTACTAGATGGACTTTGTAATAACGGGAAGCTAGAGACAGCATTGGTCATATTCCATGATCTGCAAAAGAGTAAAATGGAACTTGATATCGTCACGTATAATATTATGATTGAAGGGATGTGTAAGGCTGGGAAGATAGAAGATGGGTGGATTCTATTTTGTAGCCTCAGCCTTAAAGGTGTGAAGCCTGATGTTGTAACCTACAATACAATGATCTCGGGATTTTGTAGGAAAGATTTAAAGGAGGAAGCAGATGCCTTGTTCAATCAAATGAAAGAAAATGGTCCTCGTCCCAATAGTGGTACATATAATACGTTGATTAGGGCACGCCTTAGAGATGGTGACAAAGCGGCATCAGCTGAACTCATCAAAGAAATGAGGAGTTGCGGGTTTGCTGGAGATGCTTCAACGATAAGTATGGTGATTAACATGTTACATGATGGGAGATTGGACAAAAGCTTCCTCGATATGCTTTCTTAAAACAGTTTATCATCGTCGAGAGAAAAGCTGTGAGGTGAGTCAGCGTTCTTGCTGCTATTCTAGTGACAAGTAGTTGTAATGTCTGCTCACTATAAAATATGACTGATTCTATTAGTTATTTTCATGCTAGATTCCAGGCAAGAGTTGATGCAAACACTTGTTTGTTGTCTTGTTAACACAAGAATGGTGCTCAAAGTCAGAATAGAAGCTCCTATCATGAAGATTTCAGACTTCGAATGGTGTTTGTTATATGTAAGTCCCAAACAATATAATTCTACGCTGGCAAAAAAATGGACAGAGCCTCAGAAACAAGCAAAAATCAAGGCTCGCAAAAAAAATATATATATATTTACATCTCCCACAACACAAACAAGGTTGGAAAAAACACTATTTTGTGTATTTCTTTTCTATAAAAATCAAACAAAAAATTAGACTACTCCTTTAATTAATCCATATACAGTAACCAGTGCGACAACGAGTGAGTGATCGACACGTGGTTTCACCTCCAAAGTTAACACATCTTCTCCCAATGTAATCCCATTTGATGATTGCTTTGGCTTTACCTATAAAACAGGTTACATGGTTAAGTATTTAACTCTATAGATATACTTTTACAATCTCACTTTTCTGTTCAAAGTTATGGTAAATTTACCTGTGCAATGATATCTCCGTGGATGTCTATGATCTGAAAAGCAAATTTGGGGTCAAATCTTAAAATCCAAAAGACTTCAGTGGTCTCATCTCGAACTTCCCAATCTCCATCTCTAATCGAAGACCTTTTGACTCTAACAAAAGGTTTCACTTCCTCACTGCTTGTAAAGCTTCCACATTCTCTATACACATACCAACTCCCAAACAGCCATAATTTCTGCAAATATTTTTATAACAATAAACACAACTATTTAAACATACGAATTGATTCTTATTTTTTTCCAACTTGTTTACATATATAATGATCATCATTAAACTAAAAACGTCCAATTCCACGGCGGAAATTTGAATTTTATTAGTTAAGTATGGTTGCTTGCTTACTATATTATTTGTAATTTATTTCTACTTTGAGCTAGAGAAACTTCAACTACTGTAACTTCTTTTTTTTTTTCTTAAAATTATGAATTCGAAATTATTCTCTTTTTTTTTGTTGTTGTTGATTTTCAAAATGATCCATTGTTCAAGAACTTTTTAAAAAAAACAATAAGTTATGAGACTTAATTAGTCCCATAGTTTCTTAGAGCCGGGGAATAGAGCATATTTATGAACCTGAAAACTTTTCTTTTCTGGACGGTCAACAAAGTTTTCGAACAACTAGTTTTGGAGCTCGAACCGGGATGAACCAAGAAAAAAAAGAAGAAGAAGAAGAATCGAATCGACGAGGGATTGATTATACCTTTTTGCGGATGGTGAACAAAATGTTGCCATGGAGATCCATGATGTGGACTTCATTGCTACATTTGTCGTAGTTTTCGACACGGTACGTAATCTCTCCGTTGGAATTGTAAACAGTTAAACCATTGGTTTGGTAAACCAGAGATTTCATCCAAACCGTGAAAGTCTCTCTCTCCGTACTCATGTACGGTGAAGAGATGGCTGCTTGAGGAAAAACCCTAGCCATGGTTGAGAGACAGAGAGACACAGAGAGAAGAGAAATGGTATATAAACTATATCTCTTTAATAATTATAATGAAACTGAAATTGTAGTTGAAGTTGAAGAAGTCTTATACACCTCAATGACTTGAATTTATATAATCAGCCTTCTTTTTCTTTGAATTTTTCTAATTTTTTCTCCCAATACCAGATTCATGTACGGTGACCAATAATATAATGTTTGACATCATCATTACATATATACATATGACTTTGTTAGATATGAAATAATATAAGTCTTATGTATATAATTTTCGATTGAGGAATTTTCTTATTCATAATGGTTGTTAAGCAAAATGGAGGAGCGAATATTATATATTTCACAAAAAAAATATTAAATTTCACATGCATATGTATGTGCAAGGTTTCACTTATTACCTTAAAAATGAAATTGAAATTAAAAATTGGCATTAACTTTTGCTTTTGAAAAACATAGCACTAACTTTAACTTTAACTGTGTAAAATTAGGAATTAGGTGTAAATTCTCATGGAGCCGACAAATGTCATAGAGAAATAAAAATTCCCTTAAAATCCCTTTTTAATTGTTGTCAAATAAAAATTAACTCCTATTTTTTATAAATATTTTATTATTCTGACAACGTTTAAACAATTGGGGCGTCACTCTTTTTCAGTTTTGCTGTGTTTAAGAATATTATTGTTTGTATATAATACAATTCTTATCGAGATGACATACAGAAGAAAAAAAGTATAAGATAAAGATATGATTACAAAATACAAACACCGCATTTCGCATATTATATGTTGATAGTGGACTTATCTGCCGGAGGTCCTTATTTTATGCAAGTTCCTCTACAAAATTTGTTTCTCTAGTTTCAAGAAGAGTTTTTTCTTCTTTTGCTTTTATTCGTATCATATTTCAAAAGAAATCATTTCTTATTTTGTGATTCCAGTCATATATAATTTTAAAAATATTCTTAGTTCGTTTTTAATTATTAGATGTTTGAGGTTTTTCTTTGATTTTTATTTGATTTGAAGAAGTTCTTATGCGCAAAATTTAAATTTATTTGATACTGTATTTTATCACCAATTGTATTTTTTATATCTTTTATTATTGGTTGAGCATTTTTTTGTTAAGTGGTAAATAAAATTTTTATAGGAAAATATAGATAACGTTTTAAAAGATTTGTTACGAAATTTCTATTACAAATTATTATTATTTTTAAATAGTGTCTCGCATATGAAGCTTGATGAAGGTTTAAAGTTTAAACCAAAAAAAAAAAAAAAAAAAAAAAAAAAAAAAAGTTTAAACCAATATTTTCGATTGTGAATTTCACAACACAAGATTATTCAACATAACAGCAACTGCAAGACTAGGTCTAGTAACAAGTACTTGAGTACCAAACTTGTTGTTACTAGACGAACTGTCATTGCCACCACTGCCAAACTACATATGCTCTTGAAACTTCAATCAGAGACAAGAATGTTAGAGCCGCCTCCAGTGCCGGCCCTGTGAGATATGGGGCCCCATACATTTTTATTTTTTTTTAATGGATTTTATAGAAAAAAATTAAAATTTGAGTTATTATCTTAAAAGTTCAAGAAAATTGGGGTCTATTTTGCAATAACAAATAAATAAAATTTAAATATTGAGACTAAATCTGAAAATTTTAGAAAAATGAGGCATATATTTTGCAATATCAAATTTTTTTGGGGCCTAATTTTGATACTAAAAATTTTAAAAATTCTTGAGGCCAAATACTTTTGTTTCTTCAGAATTAGTGGTGGGCCGGGCCTGGCCACCTCAGGATCATCAACATCATATTATATATATATATATATACTTCTTATTTTTTTTATAACAAAAATATGTTTCTTGTAAACCATTTTATATACATAGCTGTCCTAGAAATCGAGTAATAAAGTAATCGACCATAATCGACGAAATATATATTGTTGCAAATG